ACCATTTTTTACTATAGATCGTTTAACAACCACTGAACATATTAAAATTGTGATCACCTGCTCCAAAAATTATTAGAATTTCGACATCATAAAATGATTAACTATTATAAGTAGTATAATTAACTATTATAAGTATATATTTAATCCTTTAATTTTTAGTTGGAACATAGGGCCGTAAACTATTATAAATAGTTGTCATAAAGTTTTTGAGTAAGCGATCAGAAGATCAGAAGAAAAATGATGGGCGAATTAAGAAGTAAGGTGTGGAGTATTACCAAGAATAAAGAAGATTTAACGAGACCTATCTACTCTGTTCGTTTAAAAATGGATTTTAGTAAATATAGTCGTTATTTTATTTCAACACAATTTTTAATATTCAAAACAGCTGTATGAACAGTCAAAAAATTTAATTAATAATTTTTTTTTTACTTAATCGTTTTACCTTCTACTTACTTTGTGAAGGTACTACGTACTTCGTGTCTATAAATTAATATTTTACCATTTAATTTATATTAACATTTCGAAAAAATTTAATAATATGTATAGGAAATTGTCTGTTCTGATATTCAGATGTCTGAGTTGGTGAATCAGCACCTTTACTCTATTTTATCTGTGGACAGTTTTAAGTCACATTAAGAATAACTGAATACGTGGCTTTATAATATGATGGATCTGATGTCTTTGTATCTGCCTGTGTTTATCAAATTTCGTTGTATTTTTAGGATGCTGAGAGTTGGATTATTGTGACTGCCAATTATATTGAACAGTTTCAGAGCATGATCTTTAATGTATTTTTCGACTGAATCGACTCTCAGATCTCTGTGGATATCTGCTCCTCTTACGCACCATGGGGCGTTAATCAGTTTTCTTAAGGCAATATTTTGCCCTCTTTGAAGAATTTTTAAAGTTGAGTTTGGCGCTTAGCAAAACGCAATACTGCCATAAAGTAGTCCAGGTTTAATAATCTGCTTAAATATGCTAACTCTATTCTTTATGTTTAGCTTTTTGCTGCTGATGAGCGGGTGAAGGGAGTGTAATATTCTGTTAGTGCTATAAAAAATTCTTAATAATTTAGAATTTGATATTATTACCTTTCTACAAATGTTTTAATTAAATTAATTAATAACAAGCTGTTGTAGCTAATGTGAATGCTATTTATGCTATCTAGAAACCCATAAATTAACTGAATTAACTGCATTGTATATAAGTGGATTTAACGCGAATTACAACGTGAATCAGCAATACTTAATATATTTAATATTTTATGACTTTTGCTAAAACATGACTTATACTAAATTAAAAAAAAATAAAGGAAAGCAAGCAAAATGTGAATGGGGTCCTCGTTACTTATTTGGTTGGTAGTGAGGAGCGAGAGAGATACACACTGAGATAAAGCAGCAACTTGAAATTAAGAAATTTCAAAATGTAATAATTTTTATTATATATTTTATTATATTGTTTTGTTAAGTTTTTTATGAGCCGACATGTATTTTTTCATTCAACAAATTAAACACATACGAACGGTGTAAAGCTCAGACTTCTCAGGCTGGCAGGCAGGCAGGCCTGTAAGCGACAGTGTCGAAGATGCAAATGCTCTACGACAGAAGTCGTAAAATTAATTCAATGAAATGCAGACACTGTGGCAGTATAATAAAACTATCTGTGGTAGGGCTATAAAAATTATAGAATTCTCTAAAAAATTTTATATATCTGTTAGCGGAAGTGTTGATTGCAAAGGGAACAACATTTAAATAAGGTGTTGAGATTGTTTAACATTAAATAAATTTAATACTAAACTCTGTACTTATGGGAAATGTTAAGATTCACGTTTATAAAATCGTACTAAGTTGATGTTTAGAGTAGAAGGATCATATGTACTAATTCCTAAAGATTGTGGAATTATATTGCCAATAATAAAATTCTTCCCTGCTACTCCATTCAGTATTATAATGTTACAGTTGCAGTTGCAGGCGTAAGAGTAACGCCTTAAACTGTCCAAAACTTACAAAATTATACAAGAATATTATATTGTAATATTCTTTAGTTGACCTTACTTTGTAACGTTAATGTGGATCGTCCAAACGATCCAGATTAAAAGATAACGCTGCACACAGAAAAATGATTATGTATGAAATTCTTGTAAGCAATTTGTATTAATCTTAGGTTTTCCATTTATTTTTATTTTTTTTTTTAAATTCTTTTCTTTCAAATTTATTGTCAAATTTTATCTTAAATGTGGCATCAAATATGTTGAGGACGAAGTATGCTTATCACGCTGCATTGCATATGATTGAAATGAAATGTAGATCGTGATAAAAAATCCACAAAAAAGTGATATTCACCCGTCTGAAGGAAAACATTTTATTTTATTTTTCTGTTTTTTTTTTGTTTTTTTGTATTAGATCTTAAAAAACAAATATGAAATTATAAAATTAATATATTTTTTATTTGAAAATTTACTCCGAAATCGATTAAGTTTTTTAACCATAAAATTTAAGAGTTTAAACATTAAATTTTATTGCTCTTAATATTGACTTCTGCATTAAAAACTAAATTAAAACTATTAACTTTTTATAAATTTTTGAAATTTAATAAAAATAAAATAAAAAAAATATATGCAATACATTAAAAATTTTCCGCTCATACATTTTATCGAACTAACGAAGTATATATAAATTTATTTTATTTAATTTTCTCTATATATATTATTTTGTATATATTATATTTTTTTTTATATTTTAGTTCATATTCTATATTTATTAGTCATACATTCGTTCTGTATTTAACTATATTTCTATAGGAACAATATTTCAAACTAGTAATGAACTAGTCCAAAAATTCAAACGCTTAAGAAACAGTAGGTATACAAAAGTAACTAGGGCTTCTGGCTAGTTATTTGGTAGACATGATATGTATACCAGTAATTTACTTGATTACTTACTATAGTGGCTCAATACCACGGTGTTCTCAATACATGTATCATGATAATGTGTCGATAGATGGCTAATTAGAGTTCCATGGAATTTCCGCCGGTACCAACACTACGGTGTTCTCAATACACGTATCAAGATAATGTGTCTATAGATGCCAAATTATAGTTCTAAGGAATTTCCACAGGTACCAATTGAAGTTATGTGTTTGATTTAAATTCCCACTTGGTAAGGGGCGAGGTCTACCCATATCTCTGCTGATCTTTGAGTCATAGCAACCGGTTTGAAAACGTAACTTCAAGCCATATGAAAGCAAGTAAATACAATCATTCTTTCCCCGTAAGTTTGGGTTTTAAGCACAGTCACGGCACTTCCAATCTCAATGGTTCAGTTCAGCAGAACCTGCAGATACTGACCCCCGTGGTACCAATTACACACCTCTGCAGGTAAAAATTCACTCACTACCATTTACACTCCAAACAGTGTCGGATGATGCCGAAATTTTGCCTTACTTCCCGGCTATTGCAATATCCTCCAAACTAAAATTAAAGTCATTCATGATGTGTTCAATAGCAATTTTTGAATAGTTTCCAGTCTTATAATATTTTCCAAGTTTAATTTAAAGTGATTCATGAGTTAGTTAGTTAAAGTGGAGAGAGGTATGAATCCTCTGCAATTAGCTAAGAAACCCGTTTTGATTCAAGTCAAGTTGTCTACTCATTTATTCATGAGTCTCATTCATGAAATATATAAAATGCTACCCCTTTTTTACTGACCTGACCGCTCAACTTCCAAATTTAGGACATACCTTAATTAATAGAATTGTCAGGTGGGTTTATCTTTACCTAATGGAGAGTCTTTGCCTTTCAGCGTTGGTCGTATGTATGCTGAACTTTTTAGTGTTTGTACGAACCAATGTTATTTCTATGGTGCTACAACGGGCCACAACACAAAGCTGCCACCCCAACCTAACAAACCTAGATACTATTATTATATGCGTATTATATCTGCATTACATTTATCACTTTTTAACGGAGCTACGTGTCCATTCCTGGAACTATATCCACTCGTTAGTATTTTTTTCGTTTTTAAATAGACCTCAAAGGCAACTTTTTGGACAGCAGAATGAATATATAGAAATTTTTTCATGGTATGGTTTAGCAATCTACATTCTCTAGATATATATATGAGGATGGCTGCGTCCAATCTCGGTATGTGTGCGCTTCAGAAATAGTGTCTCTATCAATCATTATTCTGCTGTCATAATATATGCATTTATGTTTTATTGATCTAATTTTTTGGAATATCGTTTTCGACTGAAAAGTCATTAGATAGATAAATCTTCTCCAAAAGAATGTCTTACTGTACTTTGCCAATGAACAGTCAAATGGGCACGGTTTCTTGATTAAGACGAAATAACTAATAACACCCACAGGTACGAGTAAACACTGATCAAAACGCAGTTTACAACTATGCATTTCTTAATATCATTAAATCTGCGTACGCTTTAAGTAGTCGTACAGCTATGCGCGTACCGTACTACTCTTTCACAGACCCTGCCAATAATAAATTTTCCCACATAGTGAAATTGTAGTCTTCCAAA